GAATATCATTATCTCCCTTCCCTTAGGTATTGTAACATTACCGACGTTTTGGACTAAAATGCCCTTAAATTTTTATTTTTTTTCAAAAATATCCTTATTATGTCATTGAATAATAAAAATTCTACGAAGGTTAAATTACAAATTTATCCTTAAATTATTTTAGATTTACAAAAAAAAATCTATAATTAAAATTTTATATGAAGTTCAGGGGTTAAAATTTTTTTTACCCTTTCATTAAACCTTTTTTATATTTTTAATTTTGTAAAAAAATTATATAAATATTATGAATTTAATTTTTTAAAGAAAATATATAAATATTTTATAATTTGTAATATTATACAAATATATATAATAAGGACAATTTGGTCAAATATACATTCCAATAATCTTTTATTCCTTTAACCAAACACGATAATCTTACATTCCTGCTAAACCAACCAAACACAAAAATACAACATTCCCAGTAATCCTATTCCCTTGTAATCTTTTATTCTCACTGGTAATCTTACATTCCGTGAACCAAACGCACTCTAAAGGGAATTGAGAAGAGGTTATGGAAGCTTTATTTTTGAGACATTCCGTTTTCTTTACCTTCGTGCATGGTTTTCAGAATCGGACTGGTTAGCGAACCGGTCATACTATCGGTTCACTGGTTCAACCGGTCGAACCGGTCGAAAGAATCGGATGACGTCATAATTATTTAAAAAATTAAATAAAAATATCAAAAATATTTAATAAAAATACCAAAAATATTTAATAAAAAATAATTTTTTATATCACAAGTCATATTCAAAGCAAGTCATAACATATATATAAGTTAAAAACCATAAAATCAAGTGAAACAAAATGATTCAAATTAACTACAACATAATATTTAAGGTAAAACATATTAAATAATAAATATAATTATATAACTATAATTAAAAAATAAATTTGGGGTTAAAAAAATCATAACAAAATGATATTGTTTGGTTTAATTTTTTTTTTAAAACAATCACACATGGCTAAGAAACATAGAAGAACATTCCAAAAGTCTAAAGAATAAAAATATGAGAACAAAATAATCTCACATTGCTAAGAAACATAGAAGCTCATCACAACTAACTTCTATAAATAATAGAGGTAATTTGACATTCAAAATCATGGAGCCTTTTGGTGAGCATTGAGTGAACTATTCTTTCACTTCAATTAAGCTCGAATTTTAGGCTTCAATCGAGCTTCTATTTTTTTTTTGAGTTCAAGTTTCAATATTATATTTCGAGTTTGAGTTGAACTTGATAATTTTTATCTTGTGAATTTGAGTTGAGTTGAGCTTACTTTTAAAGTTTTCAAGTTCGAGTTGAGCTCAGCAATACTCGAGTTCGACTTGGCTCGTTTAACAAACGACGTTGTTTGGTTTAATTTTTTTTTATTTAAAAAAAAATCCCAGTTTTTAGCCGGTCTGGTTCGAATGGTTCATCGGTTCTAACCGGTTCACTAATAGCGGTTCAACCGGTTTAGATTGAACCGGACTAAGCAACGGTTCCCGATTGAACCGGCCAGTCTGGTATGGTTTTCAAAACAGAGCCTTCTGTGACCGATCAATTCTTCAAAATATGTCTTTTTTCTTATGCTTTAGAAGGTTATAACATTCTAATCATGATTTTGATAACTTTTTAATGAGGACTTTCTCTTGGAACATCTCACATTTTCATTCCCTTAACAAGAATATAAAAAATAAGTTATAAATTTACTCTTATTTTATCAAATTTCATCTTCGTTTATTTGTTAAAAGAATAATTGTTCATTTCGTTATGTATTAGTTTTAGATACGTTCATTAGTACTTACGTAGTTAATTTCATTATTGTTGTTTTCTCGTTTTTAAAATTTATTTATTTGCATTAATGGAAGATTGTTAGATAATGCAAATAAAAAAAGATAAATTATTATAAGATTTTTAAATAAGATTTTATTTTTATTTTAAGTAGATTTTAGAGACAACTGAGAATTTTATGATAAATACTTTCGTCTTATTTATTAATTTACCTTCACTTTTACCCTTATAAATATAAAACTCTAATTCAATATTTTACGTACCAAAATTATTTATTTCTCTATAATTTTCATTTTCTTGTTTTGTCTTTGAAAAGAATAATACCAAGCGAGTTACATTTCTTCACTTCGGGTGTACAACGTTTGAAATACTATGTTAATCTTTGTGGACAACATTTACATCTAGAATTACACCAATCCAAATGAAATTACTTCTGATGCACTAAATTTTATCACGACACAATAGTTATATTATCTTTTATTATTATTATTATTATTGATAATCAGTGCTAACGTCTTTAATTTGTAACCATATTTATTAACAAAAGACACATAATTACCATTAATCTATCTGCAACAACGATGCTCGTGTGGGATTCCATAACCTCTTGTATCATAAATGTATTTTAGTCCGTATACAGTCATATATTTATTATGATATTCCGCTGTGGAGTTTGCAATATCGGAGAACTTTCTCAGTTTCTTAATGTTTAAACCGAGACGAGGATGAATATGATAGATTTTAAAGCTTATTCCTACACTGTAAAGAATAAATTTTCATGAAGCATTGATAAATATCTCTTGGTTGATTGTACCTACTGTTACAAGTGATTCATGTTGTTTGCAAGGATGGATTGAAGGAGAGCGAGCGTCAGAGCCTGGATGAGGTTAGAAAATATACGAACACTGAACAAAGAAATATGATAGTTAATAGTCTCCTTTACTTTTGTTCTTGGTCACTCATTTGATGGTTTAACTTGGAATCCCTTAGTGCAGGCGGCTGATTCGCTTATTTCGGACAGGAGAGTTGGTTTTGCCGAGCCTGCTTCCAATGCAACAGTGGAATGATAATGACGATGCCGATGATAATAACGGAATGGAAGCTTCAAACGTCCCAACAGCAGGCATTACAAGCCATGCATGTTCAGGGTCAACAAGATGCTGCTCAGCTATGGCAACAAGGAACTTGGCAAAATGTAGGGACTACTCCGCCTGGTTGGCCAGAGAAATCATGGCTTCTTCTTAAAAGTGTGTCCTTCGATCATACTTAATTTGGATTTTCAAAATCAAATGGCAGATTTAAAGGCTCTAACCTGTCATGACTGCAGCTGATATTAAATCTGGGAACTAATTAAGAGACGGTTAAAGCTGATGACACTCTTTAAATGTACTTCTATTATTGTCTTCATTGTTTGATCCTTGTGGACAAGGATCATCTGATGGAAGAGGAAATGTTATAACAATGAGAGAAGCCATCACTAAGAGGCATCAAAGTACATGTAGAAATCAAAATGTTTGGTACAATTACAACTAATTGCTCACACGAAGATTGTAGCTTAGGAGTGGCTAATTATAACATGAAGAGTAGAGAATAATGAAGAAGAATCAACAAATCTACTATAATGTGATTTTCGAGATTATTCAAATTTCAGTTCTCATTTTCTAGTTGATCCTTGACAAAGATCCTTTGCAGGAGAGGGTATATCATGACTAGCTGATATTGAATAGATGGAAACTAATGAAGAGCCGATTAAAGCTGATGACAAGCTGAGTAAGGTGAAACAAAAGCTGACTAAAACAAGCTCATGGACTGGGAGCTGATATGAAGAATGAAGGATGACAATTGGAGCCAAGGGTAGAGAAAAGAAGAGTTTGCAGTAACGACTAATTAGTTGTCAAATCCTAAGGAATGAACAGGTGTCAGTAAACAATGGTATTGTTGTAGAAATTGTACGAAATGAATGAGAGAATGAATATATATATATACAGAAACTACATGTAAAAGCTGCAATTATTATGAAACGAGAATATTATTAAGTCGAGATTCATTAATTGGTCGAATAGTTAAAGATATTTAGATTATCTTATTTAGGTTTGAATCCCCACATTTACTTTGAATGTAATATCTCTTTATTTAATAAAAATATATCATTAAGTCAGTCTTAATCTAATAAATGCTCTTTACCAACTGTCAACAACTTGGGTTTGTAACATAAGATTTAGCATATATAGTGTAAGATGTCTATAAAATATTAAAAATTTAAATTACCCTAAGATTTGGCATATATATTGTATGATGTCTATTCTAAACCAAGTAATTGTCTTGACTCAATAGTGGTGCTTCTTCTTTACAACCAGTGGCGGATTCAGAAATTTAAGAATGAGATCCAAAATTTTAATTTTTTTTTAATAATGGGTATGCAAAAATTGTATTTTTTTTCTTTTTTCCTTAACACATTAAGCTAAATTTAACCACTTTTCCAAAATAATAGGATGCACTTGGCCCCTATGGAAGCTTAGTGCATCCGCCACTGTTTACAACCCATCGAGACTAGGTTTGAGCCTCCTTGTTTCCCTGTTTTAACATTGTTTGACACATATCACCATTCGATTGAAGATTAACTTTATTTTAATTTATTAAACTTAAGACCAAATTAATAAAATATGTATGTAATTATATCAAAATTTTTAATTATCACATAATCTCTTCCGTTAAATATTAATGATAAGAGATTTGATTGAAGCCTTTAAATAATTAAATGGTCTAAAATCAAAACATCGGTGGTCAAAGTGAAAAGGGACAATAGTTGAGTGATCATACAAGAACTTTACCCAAAAAATATTAGTAAAATACCCCTCCCCTCTCCTCTCCTTATACGAGTTATTTAGCTAACCTAACGTTTAACAGCATAATTGATCAAACTCGAGCTCCAGTCTTTGCAGCTCTTGGAAGGTGCATTAAGAATACAGATTACCATATCTGTAATATCCAACATATCTTGTCTATTCCAAAAAATCTAGTTATGCATATGTAATACACAAATTTTGTTCAATTGTTGTCTAATGAACTTTGCAAACAGCACTGCCAAAACAATTGGTTCCATGATAAATGAGCAACAATAAGATCTGAAAACCAATAAAAGATAAAACTTTCGCTATGTCACAACTCAAATACAACTAAACAGTCAACTGTTTATTTCGAATTTTTATATGAACAACGAGAAATACATGTTCATATATATATCTCCGTCAAACAAAAATGGGGCTTTTACCGTACTGGCTGTTGGTTGTACCGGCTCTTATCTTTCTTCTTTGCAGCAGCAAGCTTCGCACTCCTTGCAGCAGCCTCTTCTGCTGCAGCTTTTGCAGCAGCATCTATCTCTTTACTAGATTTTTTCTTCTTCATAGATGTCACCTTCTTTAGCCGCTCATTCACATCAACAGCAGCTGCATCCTCCTCAGTCTGCTCATTCCCAGCAGCAACATCAGGCCCATTGGTGGCATCTGCACTACTAGGCTGATCCTGAATCTCTTTTCCCTCCTTTGATTTATCTTTCTTTTTCTTCTTCTTGGCAGTTTTAGACTCTCCGGGAGGATTTTTGTCTTTTCTCCCTCTCCTTTCTTTTCTTGTGGTACATCTGTAGGTATAAGAGATGAAGACCCAGATTAGAAGAAACTTTTTCCACTATCGATGTTTAGGAGAAGGAATTTTTTTTTACTAGAATGACATTGTCTCTAGGGTACAGTTCTTTTTTTTAGCTAAGCAGCAACATATAAACCTTAAAAGGTTGCATGCACGCGCTTAAGAGAGAATTTCATATTTTCAAAGTTAGAACAAGAGAACTAAATTGCAAGAAGCAACTTAGAACTAGAGAGAATTAAAATATAATCAGAGTATCTGGAAATTAAAGACTAAGAATAAATAACATGTCAAAACTGAACTGCAGGAATGACGATACATCAATGTTCAACCAGTTATTCCCCCTTCTCATTGGTGGGATTACTAAAGCACATTTTCCTATCAGTTCAATTGAGAAAGAAAAGCAAAGATGAATCCACCCTACATGATAAAGGCAGGAGCATGAAAACAGATCATAATCTTCTGGAAAAAGGTCTCCAAAACAAAAACATCTAGATTATACAAGCTTACAACAGTGTGACCCTCAACAGCCGGGAACCCTATAATACTAATAATGGATTTTAAAACTTAACTCGAATAAATATAAAGACAAAGTAAAACCAAGAAACACCACCATTGATCTCTATGATATCATTATGAGAGAGAAAACAAAACACTTCATCCACAGAGACAGACCAATATGCATATAAGTTTCTTACATTCTTTTCCCAATTTCTGTTCAAAGCATGGTTCCTGGATGAACAATTATAATGGTAGCAACTTTCATAGAATCATAGTACACTAATCAGGATAATTAGAATTCAAGGCGTAAACTATATCCACATATCAACATGAACTTGCACACTACTCCAGATGACAAAAGCTATGAATAGCATATATCACAAATTTTAATTAGAAAAACCATGCCCGTTATTCCATTCCTTAGCCTATGTAGCATTTAACTAGCTCCTTGGAAGAGTTTGGAGTTCCCATAAATATAAATCACGTTCTAGCGACTCATGCTAGAACCTTTTCAAAAAAAAAATTTACTAAAAACCTTTTTCTATCAACATGAATGAGGTATAAATAGAGGCATTATCAATTGTCATTGCTACCACTACAAATACTAAAGAGTTAAGACCCAAAATAGCTCTAAACTTGAGCTCAAATTGAGAACAGGTAGAACACAATAAATTCAATCTAGGATTTATAGGAGAACTCAAATCAGCATCTCCACCTAAAACCAAATTCCATTAACAACTATGCATGGGCTTCAGCTAGCAAACCACTTGCTTGTAAAAGCTCATTTCAAATAATAACTTCCAACTTCCATGGCAAAATTTCCAATCACATAATCATCCACAATCATTCAAATAATAACAAAAAAATCCAACTAGAAATTAAAAGTATATTTTCTTTAAAAAATAAACTAAAAGATTCAGAAGAGAAAAAAAGAGGCAAATGATTGTTTAACCAAAATCTATTCACCTCTACATTAGCTGTCTTTCCTTCATTACTTTGAGAAGGTTCAGAGGACCCCCAGACGGACTGAGTCGGAGCGGTCGTAGCATAATAATCATCGTGGTCTTCATCATCGACATCGGCCCAAGACTTGACTGTGAGAGGTGCCGGAGCCCAAAAGACCTGCGAGTCGGGTTCTTGTCGAGACTTCTGTTGTTGAGACTTGGGAGAAGATTTTTTAGAACGTCAGTCCTTGTCAGATTTATTCTTCTCTCTGAGAGTTTCGAGAGCCGCAAACACGTTCGTGCTAGTGATCACCACAGATCCTTCGTCACACTACTTTTATACATTTGATATGATACATTTAGATTTATTGTTATAATATTCGTGTTAATCAATGACTTTTTCAGTTGTACTTTTTGTTTAATAATGAAACATATATTTCACATTGTTGTGGAAAAGTTGACGATTACCTTTTTCGACTACATAATTTATAAATCTACGTTGGAATAGTATTGGAAACTTCTTCGATTGATGCTAAAAAGATAACCAAATGGGTACTAAAATTTGTGAATGGCTACAATACAAGGATTACAACACTCGTTCGTAACCCACGACAAAGTGAGTTGGGTGACAAGAGTTCCTACTGAGTTCAGTTACAACTCTGAACAGAAGATAAAACCCTTACGGTCATCAAATATGGCCTAAGATGTGAGGAAAGACGCTTGATTTTGTTTACCAAGATTGTCATATGAATTGTGCTAGAAAATAGCCTCATTTGGATTGGGTGTTGGTTCGAGGGGAGCCTTTAGCTCTTATTGATGATGATGTCGCATTTGGGTAATAATTGACCAAATGGATCGAGTTTGGACAGTGTGACTATGAAGAGGGCCGATATGACCTAAGTTGGGATATGTATAATATATTTGAATGTTCGTAGATTTAGAATCACTATGGTGTCATTGGGAGTGATTAGCCTAGACCTTATCATATGTGATACATCTATAGAGATATTACCAACCTAGGGACGGAATAAGGATTTTAATTCAATGGGGACAAAATATAATTAATCATAAATAATGAGAGGACAATATAATTATCATAGAAAATGAGGGGAACAAAATCAAAATAAGTTTAAATTAGGAGCTTTAATTTAGGATTTATCCATATATTTTTTTTCTTTTTGAATAAAAGAGAGGCAAGAGACATTACAATAATTTATTCATCCAAAGGTAGCAGGACCACAAGTGTCCCTGCGGAGGATATCAAGTAGTTGAGGCGGAGAAAGAATCGAAAATAATATAAGAATCATATGGGGGAGTATCCATTTTCGCGATGAAATATCATCAAGTAGTTTCAGTGTTGACGAGGAAATCGACATAGTGAATGGAGGAAGTGACTTGGTGTCAAGTCTTCATGATGTACCAAGTCTTCTGGTAATAATATGATATTAGACTGAAGTGATATATATGATCGTAAGCCATTGGATATGTGATCCTTTATGGTGTACCAAGCCTTGGAATCATTATGCAAGTAAGATCAAATGAGTTGGGACATTCCTGTATACATTTGTGTCATATTTGGTAAGTTTATTTTGTTCTTTAGCAGGAAGTGACTTGGTGTCAAGTCTTTCATCCTTTTTACCTTGAGCTAACAAGTGAAGCTACTATGGTGTAAATGACCTTCACCTAAGCTCACGTGAGGCCTAGTTATGTGGGCATTAAAACTAGGTGGATGGTACAATATCTCCTAGGAGAAAAACTTGGGTCTCGTATCACACTCTTGGCTGAGTACTTGGAGTTAGACTATAGCTTTCACTATACATAAGGGAGTATTGTGGGAGAGACCCCACGGAAGGTTGGTCGAAGTTGAATGAAGATCCAGCGGTAGATAATGTTGCTAGGCGTGCGTGGGGTGGGAGGCCTGGTCCGAGATGATCAAGGACCATGGCTTTTTGGTTTTCAGAAGAATATTGATGCTGATCGGATGTCACATCTGAGCTCTGAGAGAAATTATTATATGGGTTCGGCTCATCATATCATTCGTAGTTTCAGTCAATATTATTTATTCATCTTAAAATAATTTGTAAATAATTATTTATTCTTTATTTACATGTAGGAAAGAGATTAAGAATCACCTTTAAAAAATAAGGATAAATTTTATTGACACCAATCACAAATGACATAATGACTATCTAATAATTTTTCGAGCTTTGGGCTGTTATACTGGGACCGGAAGCGGTTTGGCCTAGAGATATATAGTAACCAAGCTGTCGAGAGTGATAGTTTGCAAGCCATCCCTAAGAATAATGGCTTAATTTCTTTCAAATGTGTTTTTCGTTTCTTTATAAAAATAAAAAAATCAAAGCCGAGATATTGTTGCAGCTGCTTCTTTTTATGTAGACATTGATATTATTGAATCAAAAATCTCAAAAAAAGCTAAAAACACAATGTTCAGGCACAACTAATCATGGCTAGGATGAGAAATAAACTGACAAAAGCAGAAGCAAAGATCCACATTTCTACCTACTGAAACTACCTATCGAAAAACTTCAACTTCAACCGCCGTCCTTATAAGTAGAGTGGTGGTGGTGGTGGAGAACTATAGTTTTCTTCCGTTGATTGGTGGCAATGGGTTATAATCCATAGGACTTGGCGGTGGAGGTGATTGTAATTGCTGACATGGTGGTAGAGGTGGCGGCGAAAGAGGGTGTTGTGGACTCGGTGGAGGCGGCGGTAGTGCAGGTTTAGGTTTAGGTGACGGCGGAGGCGGATTAGGCTTCGGAGGAACCAATTGATGGCATTTAAAGACACTACAATTTACCGGCTTGGAAAGAAACATTTTACACTGCAATCTCGATCTTTGAACCGGTCTTCCAACGCCATGGAAACAGTTCTTCCCGTCATCATATTCCTCCAAATCCAAACACATCTGGGATTCCCCATGGAAAAAATTATGATTATAACTAAATTTCTGCAAGTTGGGCATCGAACACAAGTACTCAGGAACAGTCCCCGATAACATATTATGTGACAAATCGAGCTGTTCCAAGCTCTGCATTTTTTCCAATCTCGGAAGGCAAAACACCCATCAGCTCATTATTTCTTACATCAAAAACTTGCAAGTTCTTCAACGATCCAATCTCTTCCGGCAGGCATGAATGCAACCCATTGTCACTCAGAATCAACTCATGCAACGTGTTCGACATGTTTCCCATGCTTGCCGGAAGACAACCACGGAACTTGTTGTTGTCTAAAACGATGACCGAAGCGGGCGAGTTCCCGATGTTATCAGGCAGCTCAAAAGTAAACCTGTTATGGTTCATGAAAATGGCGTCAAGGTTTTTCTCAAACAGAGCTTTGGGTACTTTACCTTCGAACTCATTGAACCTAAGATCGAGATATCGAAGTGTTGGCATACGAAGAACAACGTAAGGGAACTTCCCTGCAAACCGGTTGTTGCTGACATCCAGCTCGTAAAGATACTTCATTTCCTTGAGACTCCATGGCAGCTTGCCGCAGAACCTGTTGGAGTTCACGTGAAACAATGAAATATCGTTAAGGAGTCCGAGTTCATCCGGGAGTGTTCCGGCGATGTCGCCGTGGTTCAGATCAATACCGGCCACGGTTTCGATGGCGGGGTCATCGGGAGCTGGGGAACAGAAGACACCAGTGTAGTTGCACACATTGGATCCCACCCAATTCGACGTTAAGTTCAATGGATCCGAGACAACGGCTTGCTTCCATGCTTGTAGAGCAACGTAGGCATTCTTAAGCCTGGAGTTGTCGAAGGTTAGGGACGATGGAACAGAGTCGAACTCGCCACTAGAACCCAACTCGTCGCTGTAATAAAACACCCTTCTTGCGTTATCTGCATGGGTAGAAGCAGGGTTTTGTCGGGCAATGGTGAAGGGAAAGCATGTGAAAACAACGAAGAATGCAAGAACAAGAGCACTGTAAGTAACTGTGTTCTTCATCGAAAACACAGCTGAAACTGCGAGAGAATTTGTGAATGAAGAAGATATGGGATTGAGTGAGAGATTTAAATAGTGGCAAAACAGGATGATACCTGATCAGATTTGTTGAAATCACATAATATCCGGTTTGTTTTTATCAAATAGATTAATTTTTCTTAATCGAAACATTATCTATTAATTATAACTTGAGAAGGAAAATAATTAACACCTTAATTACGGCACAAAAGTAGGCATTTCAAATTCCTACTTAGCTTTGGTCAAGAGTAAAATCCCACTAAATTTAAGTTGGACTTCGCACTTAAATCTGCTTCGTCTTCATTGGGTGTAACTGAAACTACTACTTCATATTTTAACACCCTGAATTTGTTATTCTATACATAATTTACTAAATATTTTTAAAAAAAAAATTATAAAATTTCGAATATAACAAATAAAAGATTTAATTGCATCACATGTTTATAATCTCTAACCTTTTAAATATTTCAATCCCATCTCTAAATTATGACTATCATTCTAAATTAGTCCTCAAAATTTTGAACATTTTCAATTTCATCTCCAAACTATGACCTTCATTCTAAATTGATCCCTAAACTTTTTGAACATTCCAATTTCATCCCAAACGATACGTTTATACTAATCACATCCATTGTTAATAAAATTGTTAGGCTAAGTTATATTATTATATGTTTAAAAAAATTAGGTTAAACTATGGTTGAAACTAATTACATATTTGGATCAATTTGAGGATGAAATTGAAATATTGAAAAGTTTGGGGACTAATTTAGAAAGAGTGTCATAGTTTAGGGATGAAATTAGAATATTCAAAAGTTTAAGAACCAATTTAAAATGAGGGTTATAGTTTGAGGACAATATGATGCAATTAACTCCAAATAAAATAAGGATAAAGTACATCAAAAATCATTAAATTTTACTTAAATGATCTTTTTGGTCATTAAACTTTTTAAAATTGTAAAATAATTATTAAGTTTATTAAATTATTATAAAATGATCACTATGATATAACAATAAGTGTAAAAGTTTAATAAATTTAATGAACATTTGTAATAATTTGATAAAAATTGACGATCGTTTTATAACAATTCAATAAATTTAATGATCATTTTGTTACTTTTAAAAATTTAGTTACCAAAATCTGTTTAATTAAAATTTTAAGAGATTTTTTTAGGTAAATTGATATTATTTTAAAATAAAATATGTTTTTAACATTTATTTACTTTAACCAATTGAGTGACATTAGTAGTTAAGGAGAGTGGCGTTCTCTCTTGATGCCCTCTATTCGAACAACTACGTCTTCAAGGTGTGTGTACGTTGTGTCAATGGCTAAAAAAGAAACTCAACATATACTATGTTGTAATCACCACATACTAATAAAAAATATTTATTTACTTGAACTTTTGAGATTATAAACTATAACCCCTCGAGATAACCGTATAAAAAATAGGATAAACTACCTATTTGATCACTCACTTATTATTTAATTTTTATTTTGATTACTCAACTATTAGTTTTTTCAAAATTACATCCAACACTACATTTTGGTTCTATTATGGACACTCGTCGTTAAAAAATTAACAGTGATACAAATGTGACATTTTTTTAAATTATTTTTCAATGATGATGTGATATTATATTATGATGATATGTCAGCATCATCGTTAATTTTTTAATGACAATTGACTATAACAGAACCAAAACGTAATGTTAGATATGATTTTGAAAAAAATAATCGAGTGACTAAAACAAAAACTAAATTAATAGGTGGGTGACCAAATAAGTAGTTTAGCCTAAAAAATACAATCTAATGTTGATTAGAACTAATATTACGGAGTCAAGGATTGTTGTGGGCAGCTATCGCATATTCCGTTGACAAAGAAATGAATGATCCATCCGTTGTTTTCCCCACATATAGAACCACCTTCACTCACTCTCTCTAAATGAAACCATTCTTCCATTACATTGAAAGGTTAGCCACAACCCCCCACCCAGACGTTGTCGTGTTGATCGAGGAATATGGCCACCGGAGCTTCCGATAGCCTTTTCCGATCAGTCTACGAAGGGTGCATCTCTGGCTGTGACATCATCATCGAACGTCGGCCGTACCACAGGAATTGTGGCTGTGCACTCCACGACAGGTCACGTAGGAATTGTCCTCACGGATCCCCTAAAAGCACTAACGTGTCTTATCCTATAAGGAGAGTATGGCATGAGGGATGCTTGGCGGCGTCGCCGCCTACTTCGCCGCGTTTCACCACTTTTCATGGGACCGTGAAGCAGCAATGTAAAGAACAAGATGATGATGAAGAATATTATATGACGATTACGGCTAAGCCAGCCATGGAAACGAGTATGAAAGGCAGTGAATAAATTTCATTTTCATAGGGTGATTTTTTATTTTCCGTGGACGATCCACGTTTTAATCCTTCATTTTTTTGGGTATTAATCGCCCTTCTAAAGATCCATTTGTGGCAAACACAAGCAAATTTTGGTTGCTTTGTAATGGGGTTTAAAAATTTGTTCATTTATAAAATCTTTTATATTCGATACTCTATAAATGTTTAAAGATGATATACCGTTTTGTTTCAAACACATCCGTATCTAATTCTCACGTCATTTTTGAAGTCCTTCAACCACGTGAATGGTAAAAAAAATATTACTTTCTTTATAAAGTATTGAGTTTATTGTTAATGATTAAGAAAGATTTTAAATATATATTATTAAGTAAATAAGTGGAGTTGAGTCGAGTTTGAGTATTGTTAAGTTCGACTCAATTTGAAAAGTATAAAGTTAAACTTGACTCGAACTCGAAATCAAAAAAATTAAATTCAACTTGACTAAAAAATTCAAGAGTTTAAAATTTTTAAACTCGACCCGAAATAAAAAACACTCGGTATTCTTGGACTCAAGCTCAAACTGAGATTCCCTCTAAACCTTAAATATATAAAAACATTATA